CAGCACAATTGAATGCTGCTTGCAGAAGCTTCAAGGCAATAATTCGCAGCTTGCCATTGGAATCGGTAACCCGGAAAAGACCTCAGCAGCCAGAGAGAATCAGGGCCATGTCAGTCATGATCCAAACTCCATGTCTCAATGGTGAGTGAGCTTGGCATGTTTACCATCAGGTCCTGATGGAGTTGTGGATTGGCAGCGGCATTGCTGTGGTCTGGAGATGCCAAAGGCCGAACATCACAGTGGATTTGATTTCTAAACATGTGGCTGAAAACCAGGTTGCTCGAATGTCTGCAGCAGCCAGTGTCGGCCAAGGCAAATTTCAGAACTTTCAAGCGTGGTTTCTGTGAAAGTGTTTGATCCTTGGGCATAATATCTAAGCCATGTTGGGTGAACAAAAGGCCAGGCTCTAATCATGAGTGAATGTATGTTGAAAAGCCTGACATACTCTACTCAGGTCTCGATGATGGACGCCAAAGATGGAGAGGAATCCAGTTGGCAAAGGCCAGACCTGCGTTTTTCAGTTGATGATGCCATCTGCAGATCATTGCTTGTACTGAAGGCCTTTGAAGCAGAATATGCTGAGATCATGTTAAATTTACGTAGTCAAACTCAATGTAACCTCAAGTATACCTCCAATCATCTTCTAGCTGTCCAGAGTGACTTGCTATATGTGGCAATTTCAGCTCAAGCGATTTGGTTGGATTGGTAGTCGCTTGATTTCAGTCCCCAGGCCTCAGCAATGGAGAAGTCATCGTCCCGTAAACAGGCAAAGGATTCAGTAGCTGTGCCATCAACGAACATGGATCCTATGATTAATGATGATGCCTGGCAATGGCAGGGGCAGGGGGCTCAAATGCCATGGTAGGGGGCCAAGTGCCATCACTCTCAGGGGATCCGCAGACTCAGAGCCTGAGAATTCTGATGCTGAAAAAATCAGGCTTAAACAGAAAAAATCTCGGAAGCGAGTTCAGGCTGAGATCCAGGATGACCACCTGAGTGCAAGTCAACAAAAACAAAACTGCATCGCAAGAAGTGGGCCGCAATACTGCAGCTTCTCCTTGTTCCTTGGCACCTATTCTTGATCATCTCTTTCTTTTGCTGTAGTCAGTAAGAGTCTGGCTGTGAGTTCAAGATAAGAGACTGAAATGATACCACTGAGATTCAGCCCAACATGCTGATCGCACGAGTGTATCCTACCTAGGATGCTGCAGTGACTGCAGGCAAGGAGCATAAACCATGCTCACGGCTGTTCTACCTGCTGACAGACATTCGCCCACACGTCAAGATAAGGGAATTGACATAAAGGGTCGACACACCTTGTTGAGAGCGCGATGCTTCAACTCCTTCACTCGAAATGCCGTCGTGCCCACAAGCCACTGGAAACGTTTTACAGGGGCTACATAGGGAATGGACTGAATATTTCGACCGAGAAGGTAGACGAGGTGGCGTTGGCTTGTGGTTGGGACGAGACATGTCTAAGATGTGACCACCCAGGCCAAAAGGAGATCTGCCAAAGCCAGAGCGAGCAGGGACGGTCGTTTGAATTTCACTTGCGGGGGCCAAGTAAGTGCCGACCAACTTGCCAGCTCCTGAGAGTGCAGTCACTGCTCCAGCTGTCCCTCTCCCTGCAGTCCCTAGTCCAGCTCCAACAGGATCTGGCCCAGTTGTAAGTAAAGAGCAGTAAAGGGCAGCAAAGGGCAAGCTACGAATAGGATCAGTGAGTCTGATGGTCTTCTTACATCTTCTTACTTTCACAAGAGCAAAGCGATACCTCACGGAAACGTGTGACGAAATCCTTGTAAAGCGATAGGACCCCCCCAAATCATCCATGGTCTGGCCATGAATAAGAAGTTTTGACGAACGCTCCGATGGCAAACTATCCCTGCGAGTAGAAGATGGGCATCATCTGAACCTGGAAAATGACATGAAACTGCCAGCCAAAGCAGCTTGGCTGATTGCAGGTGACCTGTGGTTTCGGGTAGACCTACTATTCCATGAGGAACTGAAGCAGCATGGGGAGAAGAGGACTGTTCCAGCACTTCAGCAGCCAAGTCAAGAGAACGCCATGGGGTGGTGATAATCGTGGTGGCTGTGAATCTGATGTCTACTACTGTCACGGCCAAGTCCGGGATGGCCGAGTGCCTCATCTGTGGTATCCTCGGAAGCATTTTGCATCTCATGTTTCAGGACATATATTCGAGCAGACCTGAAACGACTCAGAAGCTTTGTTTGAAGAAACTGCAAGATGCTGAAAGTCTGACTTGGTCAAACGTGGTTGGTCCAGAGCCTGTGACCATAATCCTGGGGGCCAAGTGCCATGGACTGTTCGAAGCAATGGCATGGTCCTTGCCTTGGGTTCTGGAGCAACAGGGCCATGTGTCTTGTCACTTACGAGACCAAGCAGACCCAAGAAGTTTGAGTGAGCTTGAGAACGCAGTCAGCATTCAGCAGGAAAATCAGGTTGAATCAGACTGGTGGTCATCGTCTTCAGATTGCTGGCCAGTATAAGCGCGACCCGGCGCATAATGGTGAACGAGACGATCCCTGTTGGATTATGAGTCAAAATTATGAGAGTCCGAGAGACAGAAAATGGGGTCAGTTAGAAAGATTCAGTACTTGTTCTTTCTATCGTGATGTAAGTAGGTAGAATCATCTTATCAGAACAGAAAGTTGTATTGATGTGTCTGACAGCTGAGGCTGATGGGCAACCAAAGCTCCGCTTCTGCAGAAAACGAGCGATGCCAGAATGTCTGAACAGCAAGTGATACCCCATATCCAGAATCACAAATCCTGTTGTGGCAACAGACCATAGCAGTTGAAGTGCTTGTTGACTTTTTGAGAAGGGTCCACAGTCCACAGCAGAGTTTTCGAACACCTGGGCAAGAGATGTGACAATGGATCTGAGATTGCGGCTCAAATTCCGAATCAGCTCCACAGCTGTAGTCTTCAGGTTATTATTTTGCCTTGTCTATCCCAATGGTTTGCTGTGTGGGCCGAGTGCCAGCTGAGACATCCATCAAGGAAGATGACTGCATTAGCGTGGAGGGTTTCATGAAGCGAATGCGCAAGAGGCGCAGAGTTCTCCAAAGGACAAGAAGCTCTCTAGGTTTCCAGACTATCGACTTCTACCTGTCCATCATGCCGGAGTCAGACATCTCACTGGACCCTTCTCTTCGAGACCAAGAGAGTTTGAGAAAGGGAGTTTCTGAAGCTTCGACAAAGTCTTCGGGAATGGATCTCCTTTTAGGATGTCCTAGCTGAGAATGAGGAGCCAAGTGCCAGCACTGAAACCAATTGGTCAAACCTCCCGCTGCTCTGTGAATGATATCCCTGTCCCATGCTGCGCTAGCTAAGACTCAGGCGCCAAGTGCCAGTGGCCATCGGTCCAACCTCCATCTGCTCTTCGAATCTCTGTCTCCTGGCCCCCTGCAGACTTTTAGATTATATTTATTATGGTGGCAAAGAGCAGCATTCCTCTTATTGCAGGAAAATTCAGCAACCTTGCAGTGCCACTGAGAATTTTGAGGAACTTCTTGAAGGACGAGGGGCAAACACGTGGGCTGTTCTCATGTGGCCTGTGGATCTGTGCACAGACACCTCCACAACTGAGACACTTTTGTCTTGAGGGCCAAGTGCCAAGACCATCTAGGGGCTTGTTGTTCTGCTGGCACCTGGCCCCCATGCAGACGTTTCTCTAATTTGTTTTAGTCTACATGTTGTTGTTGTTGGTGGTGGTTGTTTATTGTTTTCGACGCTTGCCCATCATATTATATTTGTCATAATTTGTTTTCTAAATTCGTGTTACTAGTGTTATTATTGATGTTGTTCTGCTGGCACCTGGCCCCCTGCAGACTAATTTAAATGGTTTTTAGCCTCGTTATTTGTTATTATTGTTATTACTGATGTTGTTCTGCTGGCACCTGGACCCCTGCAGGTTTTGAAGTTGTTTTTTAATCTACATGTTGTTATTTGTTAGTATTGTTATTATTGATATTGTTCTGCTGGCACTTGGCCTCCCGCAGACTGTTAAGTTGTTTTATCATCTACATGTTGTTATTTGGTTGTTGCTTTCGACAGTTGTTACTATGATGAAATATTGTTACCCTTCGCGGGGAGCCTCTGGGGTCAATGGCGGCACGGGCGAAGTCCTACTTTTCTCGCAGCAACACAAAAGCTTCGACTGTTTGAGAAGTCTACCATGCTGCCCTTTGAACCTGCTATCTACACAATGATCATAGCCTTTAGGCTGTGACTTAGGTTCGGGCTGCATGCCTGCGAAGCAAAGCTTTCATATGCGGAACATTCTCTCGGCACTCCCCCTAAACTTCGAAAGGAGTTTATACTCGGGAGAATGTCAAAATCTGTACACTTTCCCTACCGCTAAGAAAACCTCTTAACCGGCCAGGGGACAAAGGAAGCAGCTTACAGGCTTCCAGCAAGGACAAACATGAACCCAAATCCAAACGAGGGTTACGAAGAGAGAATGAGAGATTGGAGCCTCCAGCCCAGTCCTCTCAAAAGGGAAAAAGACAACGAGATTAGGTCACCACCCAGGGGCAACCCAGGTGGGCACAGTAGAGCCAAAGCAGGCTCCAAGTTACAGCACAAGACCTCGGGATACACGGCTTTGACCATCCCAAGGTGGAATGTGTGGAGCGGCGATGCCGCCGAGGTTCTCAGGCGTGCACGGTCTACTCCCTTGCATCTAACCTCCTATCCACCCCGACTCCCGCGGCGATTACGCACCCCGGGCAGGCAATGTTTGCACGGCACATATCGGGTTCCCCTGTTATGTCGCAACGGGCATCCTGCTGCATGGTATCGCGACGTCCAAAACCAAAGTGCAGGCTGACTGGCTCCGTGATACAGCGGGCACGTGGTTCGTAGGATGACACATTGGTGCAGTGTGCCAGTTGGGAACATCCCAACCGGTGGTAGCACCCTCCAGCGCTCGTAACACACAGCGGCAGGCTAACTGTTGCTTCGTGCGGAACTGGCGCCGATCGCTGGGGTCGTGAAGGTCCCAGCCACGCCGTCGCCGACGAAGATCCCGATCCCCTCGGTTCCGTGGGGAATGTAGCCGCAGCGTCATCGACATACTGCACAAACTGAGTCGCCTCAGCGTAGTCCTCGTACGACCAGAGAATTCCTGGACGTGGCATCGTCCTCTCTCGTTCGGTCCGAGCGGGTTCCGTTTGACTCCCCCGGGCTTGGCTTCCGTTCTCGGTCTGTGTGCCTCGCGAAACTTGGCTCCGGTTCGTGGCGTTCACGGCCAGCCGCCGCACCACTACCTTAACTCCTTCCCAAACCGAAACCACAGCAACCAACATCACTACCCAAAACCACCGCACCACATTTGTCTCGTCTTCGACATTGGGCTGTCCAGCCGCTCCTTGAGCACACGTGGCAACAATCAGCACAGCCAATGCTCGTCTCAACGACTCGGTGTTGCGAAGCACGGCCACTCGATCCCCTGGGAGCGTCGCGAGCTCACACAACCGCAGGAGTAGGTGGAACCTCTCGCGAGGGAGGGCCTTGGTCAAGGCATCGGCACACAGGGATGCTCCAGGCAGATGGGTCACTATCCAACCCCTAACAACCTGCTCTTGCAACCATGCCCCTTTTATCCGTAGGTGACGCGTGCGCCACGTTCCTCCCGGGAGGGACACCACAGCCACCGATGCTGTGTTGTCGGTGTACAGCACCACTCGTGCCCTCAGAATCGAGTCCTCTCGTTCCTGCAGTAGAGCGATCGGAGGCACCATTGCACGACCCCCTAAGAACTCGTTGATCAGGGGGCAAATAGACATCACCGCCTGGCCCGAATCACTCAGAGCTCCAAGTTCTGATTCGCACGTAGACATCGTCATGTAGGCTTGCTTCTTGCTGCACCAATTGATCGTGGCTCCAGCCCACACTGTCAAGAAAGCTCCATGCGAGCGAGAGCTTTCCGGAGCGAACGATGCGTCGCTGTACCCTTCCACAACATCCTCGGACCTTTCAACCTTTAGAACACCTTCGGGGCCCTTGTCATTCGGAGCGGCCCCATACTTCAAGCAAAGCTCTGGGTAGGCCTTGAGGTATCGCAGAACCTTAAGACCTCGTTCGATAGCCGCTGCTGGGTGTTTAGTCATCCAAGCGGAGATGACTGAAACGGAGTAGGCGAGGTCGCATCTGCTATGTGTAGACAACCAAAGCAGTTCTCCCCCGAGCTGTTGCGCCTTTTGCACTCGGCCCTCGAATCCCTCTTTATCCTCCTCATCTGGGGTCTGTGGTTGACCCTCGCACGGGACCTGCAGCGGCTCTCCAACCTCATACCTCTGCAGAAGCTCCTGAATGTACCTGGTCTGGTGCACGTACAGCGTCCCATCAGAACCCGAAGAAACCTCAAACCCATTGAAGGTAACTGATCCTGTCTCGGAAAGTAACACTGGCTCAGTGCACTTCCACACCTGACACAGCTTGTCCAGCGTTTGCTGAACATGCGAGGTAGCGCCCACTGCCAACATGTCGTCGACATACAGCGCAAGGTACACCACAACACTGTAGTCCTCTTCACGGTACACGGTCCAGATATTGGGATCGCTGGTCATGGGCCGAACTCTCACAGGGGCCCCATCAACCTCAAAACGCAACTCCGTCAAGGTTCCGTCCCGATGCACTGACCAGCTGCGGGGGCTAATGGTCAGCCCATACAGAGCCTGGTGCACAGACCAGTACTTCTCCTCGCAGATGCGGTGGCGACGGAACATTGCCGGGGTCATGACAACTATCTGAACCCCGTTCGACAACAGCGGCGCTGTAAGGAATGCTTGCTTGACGTCGATGATTCCTAGATCCAGCCTCCGAAGACCTGCGAACCGCAACAGGGTACGCAGGGTGACGGCGTCAATCCCTCCTGAGTAGGTGTCGGCCCGCGACCGCCGGTCGCTTCGTGCAAAGTTCCCGCAACATACGCATCGCACCTTTCGCCTTCCTTTCGGTGCCTTAATGCTGCAAATGACCTTCGCAGGAATCACCTCGCAGGGGGTTCCGTCACGGCGCCACTGCTCCAGCGTGGCCTCGTCCAGAGGCTTCACTGCCTTCTGCAAGCCTTCGTACTCCTCCCTCATCGGGTCGATCCACTCGCTGGGATCACGCTCCACAATTGCGTTCGGGACCACGTGGGTCTGCAGCACCTCGTCGTAGGACTGCTGAAGGTCCTGAGTGGCCTGCTCCACTTGTTGAGCGGCGCTGCGAAGGGATTCCACACGCTCTCCACCATTGGCAGAATCACACACAACCGCTTGCACATGTAGATTGCTCTCCCTCTTGATCAAGGCTTGGAGTCGAAGCTGGCTCCGGTCAAGTTCCTCCCTTGCAGCCTCATCAAAGGCAAGGGGAACAGCGGCAGCAACCAACTCACACATCTCAACTTGGTCGCCCGGCGGCGACGCCTGTGCCTGATGTAGACGGCTGCCCTCAGCTGGCACCTCAAAGAAGTCAGCTTCCTCCTTGACCGGTCCCCCTTCGAGGTCCTCCCAGTCTGCAGCTGCAATGCCATCGTCGGACCATCCTTCTCCTTCGTCGGAGCTGTCCTTGACCTCCTTAAGGGTATCGGGACTAACCCCTACAGCTACAGGCTCATCAGGGAAGAGGGTTCGACCCGGGGTGGTGCGGAGCATAGATACACGCTCCCTCTGCAATTGATGCTCAGCTTCAGCCTGTTCGACTTCCCGAGCAAACTCACTGTCTCCCCGACGGGACATCCTCGGTGGATCAACAGTGCCTCCGGCAGTGACGGCACGAGTCACAATAACTCTCTGGATGAATGAGAGACCAGACACTTGTTCTCTCAGGGCCAAGAACCGTTCCGGAGTAACTCCTTGCTCATACAGCCTGGGGAAATGACTGGGATCTAATGCACCTCCAATGGTCTCTGGACGATCCAAACCTTCGCCTGATACCTTGGTGCACCTCCCCTTCCACAAAACCTCGGCCTTCGGAGTATGGGACTTGAGTGGAGGCCCAATGGACGGCCTCGGCCAGCTCATCTGACATCGGAAGTTCCTGAGGAAATTCGCTGAGTGTCTCCCCACGACCCGCATGATCTAGGACAATGAGTCCCATTCCCAGCCAGAGTGCACCTGGACTTGTGCTCCCCCCTCCCCGGCTCGGATCTCTCCATTTCCAGGATTCGTAGCGGAGCGCTTCTTCCTGCGTTGTCACCAAAGCATCTTGTAGAACCTCCCGACACCTGGACCACACTAGGTTCCCCTCACTTGCCTCCAATCTGCTGGACAACCACACACGAGATTGAAAACTCCTCACTCGGCGGTGGAACTTCTGCGCCTGGGCCTGAGGCCAACCCCCGTTCCCTCTGGCCAAACACTCCACCAACTGCAGGGACTGGACCACCTGATGCCTTTGCTGAATGCGGACTGGGGACACCTGATGCCTTCGCTGAATGCGGGTTGAGGACACCTGATGCCTTCGCTGAATGCGGGTTGAGGACACCTGATGCCTTTGCTGAATGCGCGCTGGGGACACCTGATGCCTTTGCTGAATGCGCACTGGGGACACCTGATGCCTTTGCTGAATGCGCACTGGGGACACCTGATGCCTTTGCTGAATGCGTCCCATCTAATCTAATCGAAGCCAACCGTGGCGGGGGGCCTGGGTGAGTTTTTAGATTGGGCACTGGAACTCTTCCCACAGCCTCTGCAGATAGAAACCGGTCCTCCATTGCCATCATCGACTCAATAAAGTACCACTTGGGTTCCTCGTTCCCAAACGAGGCTCGGAACAGATACCCATGAAGGTTGGGTGCGTCCTCATACCCAATCCTTACCATGCTATGAACCTCCCCCAAACGATCGAGCTCAAACTGAGTATTGTTTTCAGTCAGGCTATATGGCTGAAACCCAAACAACCATGGCACAGGGTTCTCATAGCCCTCCCAAATTACCTCAAGCTCCGGGGACTCCTGCCAAGACCTATTCCTAGCCAGGTACATGGAAAGGACAAAGGCCGAGAGGGGACTGTTCCTCACATGGCTGAGGTCACCGTAATTCTGTCCCACTCTGATCTCTCTCCGCTCGGAGCGTGGCCTCCGCACTCCCCGCCTTCGCGCCTGCTCGGCTTGTTCATCATTCAGCACGGTGAACCGCTGTCTCCAGACAGGGGTCTGCATGGCCACATCTGCACGATCGTTCGTGTCAAGCTTGGCGACACGATGGCAGGTTTTGGGTAGGCCCTCTGCGCACAGACCTCGCTCCTCATCACCGGCCTTCTGTCCTTTGTCGGAGCAGGGAAACGTATCCAGCTCCTCAATCTGGACTGTGGGCTCTCGTTCCGCGCACTCCAGACTATCCCCATTTCCGAATGGCAGGTCGCGCGGCAGAGCAAACCCGGCTTGTCTCAGCTTCCCGACGGTGCTCGGCTCGGCACGTTGGATGGCTGTGAGGCTATACGCAACCAAAATCACCCGAGAGCCTTTCTCCCAAGGCTGCGACGCATGGAACTTGCGCGGGTCTAACTCAAAAGGCTTCAGCACTTGCAGGGGCCACGTCTTCCCTGCAATCACCTAACAGTGCGTTTGGTTGGGATGCGATGGGAGAGGGTCGGAACTGGACGTTCATCAATCGGGAGGTCTCTGCGCAGAGGCTGCGTGTCACCTTCCTGGCTGGGCATTTGCGCGTCTGGATCGAGCACTTCCGTAAGCAGAGTGGTGGTTATCATCAATCTACCATCACTCAACAGCACCACATGTCCCTTAGTCACCTCAACCGACGGCGCTAAGACTGTGCCTACTAACCCCCTAGCCGCCCATCGCTGTCCCTTTCGGTTCCACCTCCTGTTCCTCACATACACCTTGGTGCCAAACGGGAGCACATTGGTGGGAGGCCCTCCAAGGACAGCGCTGAGCCTGGACCTCATACGGGAGGCAACGTGCTGCAGGGCAAATGGCCAGTACTGATGCTCCACTGAGGCGGCGGTCATCAGGACCCTCGCCTGCCTCTTTATCCGATTAATCATGCCTTCCACTCGTCCATTCTGCTGATAGTGATCTCCCTCGCTGGTGGTCTTGAAGATCCCTCGATACCGAAGGAACGAGCGGAGGCGCTTGTTGCAAAACTCTCGGCCCTTGTCGCTGTGCAGCCGGGTCACGCAGTATCCGAGGGCCTGGATCTGCGTGATCATGAACGCGATACCATCCAAGACGGTTTCTTCCCGTTTGTTCGGGAGTGGAACTACAAACGGTAGCTCAAACATCTTGGAAGCCTCCAGGTGCTCCTTCTCCTGATCAGCCCATTCCCGGCTCATAGTTTCCTCTTCCCGAAGCTCAGCATCGGCAGCGCGGACAAGTTCACGAGAGCCCTCCTCCACTTGTTCCCATTCCACGGGCCCCTCCTCCTCGTGGGCCCAGAGACCGTCAAGGTCTGCATCAAGCAGCGGCTCCCCTGGAAGCGAGGGCACATACTCCTCGCAATCCACATCTGAAGGCAGATCTGGCACCTCTGCCTCACCTGAAACCTCCTGGGGTGGCTCTTGGGCTGTCACTTGATCCCGTTGTGGCTTCACAGCTAACTCCGGCACAGAGTAACATCCCACAAGACACCACACCACCTTAGGATGATGTTCACTAACACCCCGCTCGTACTTACCAAGTAGATCCACACTCAGGGTGAACCCTTCCGGAGTTTTGATGCGGCGGTGCATCCGGGACTGAATGCCCCCTTCCACACAATGGCGGCAGTCACGTCGCCAAGGGATATGGTCCTGAGCCAGGTGCCGTTGAAAGGACGCGTCACCTTTGACACCTGCTGCTCGTAGGGTGGTCGTCTGACCCAACATTCCAACCTGTAGCCTAACCGCGGACCGTACAACAGTCGACACTGCTTCCAGCACACCGGGGCTCCATGCAGCAGTCGCGGAGGATGGCTGAGGACTATCATATAGGGTTTCAGGGGGCAGCTCGGCATTGGTGAACATGTCCACCTTGCCTTTGCACAGCACACGGTTGAGCTGCCGCTCCGCCACAACTCTGGCAAACCTGGTGATCCCTATAGGCTGGCCGCACGGGCGACCAAGGCACACTAGTGGTTCATAAAAGCACGCAGCAAGCTCCAACAGCACCATCAGTGCAAGAGTTTGCCGCCCCCTTACAAGGTCGTCTTTGCTCTCGACAGAGAGCGACGTGTCGCACAGACTAAAATCAGCTGCGGCAGTACCAATCAACCCCCTCAGTTTACCACCCGCGGCAAGCTTCAACAGATACGAACAGGTGACCGGCTCGCAAAGCTCCTTTGCTTCGACGTCCAAAACCACGCACGGCTTGGAGGCCTCCTTGAAAGCCCTGGGGTGGCCCATCACAACGAACGCGCCATCTCGTTCGCAAGCCCTCCGAATCCGGCGGTTCCACTTAGACTCTGCCCCAGCCCCACAATGGTTCGACTGGAGCGCCAGATCATCCACGACACACGCAGGGAAATCCCCAAACTTGTGGCTCAACCACGCAGACATCAGCACTCCCACCTTAGCATCACCTTGTGCCACTTGGCACAGTCGGTGCTGTAGGACCACAAAGTCCTGGGAGCTCAACGAGGCCGCCTCCTCGCGAAGCGCCTTGATCACAACTCGCTGGGCCCTCCGATATGCCTCAACATCCCCAATCAACTCCAGAGCCAACTCATACGGAACTTCTGGACACTTGTTGAAGGTCGAGGGCCGAATGGTACCCCGCACAGGATGGGTCAAAAGGCATTCATTGCCACACCACGACAGCTGACACCCCATGTCAACCAAATCCGCGACCGACACCAACGGATCAATGTCTTCCGTGGACAGCAACGTTCCACCGGAGTTCACAAACAACTTGACAGTGCCAACTGCCAAATTCACGTTGCGTAGCTCGCACCCTTCATCAAGCTCCCCCGGCCTGGCCCGTCTCATTGACGTAGACGCACCGGTATCAAGGAGTCCGGTGCGCTCCGGCTCCTCAACGCTGCGCCCAAACACTTCGGACACCCGTTCCGGACTGGGCCTCTCATGTTTCACAACAAGGGCCTTCAGCTTGAGCGACCTGATAACCTCGGTGGCCTCCTTCAACAAGTCGGCTGTGGTAGTTGGGGCGTTCCCCGCACCAGCTTCCTGACCTTCTCCTGCGTCCTGCTCCTGTGCCTTTTGGAGCTTAGACGCCCCATCGCCTTTCCTGGCCTTGCCACCCTTCCCGGTGCCCCTCCCTTGGCTCCCGAGTCAGCGCTCTTGGCACTCGGCGCTGCTGCAGCTTGTCCTTCTGGAGGGCCCCAGGGGCAATCGGGCTTCAAGTGTTGGTCACTAGAGCATGCCCAACACCTGCGAGTGCCCTTCAGCAAAGCACGATCGTGATAATCAGGACACAAGGCGGCCTTCTTACACCCCTGATTAGAACCCCAAAACCGGCACACCTTCTTATCACCAGCACCAACCGAGGCGGCCTTAGGGGGAGCAGGGGGAGGCACTAAACCGGACTGCTCGGCACCTTCCTTTTCCTCAGCCTTTGTGGCGGCGGTTTTGGCTGCTGCAGCACGGGGTCGCTTGGGTCCTTGGGCCCGGGGGTCTTCTTGAATGGAGAGTGCCTCATACTCAGCAAGGAGGTACTCAGCCAGCTCCGCAACCTTGGCCTGAGTGCCTGAGTGGGGGCAAAATCAACCCCAGACTCATTCCGGTACGCAGCCACACGGAAGGACACGACTGGATGATCCCCCAACCCCGGTTGGGTCAGCAAGTCAAGCCCTTTTAGCAGCAGGCTCGAGTCCGGAAGTACTGCTCCGAGCTCGCTCGCTCTCAACACCATGCGTCTCCATTTCCTGATGCCCTCCACCGTCTCCTCCACTGAGCTCGAAGCCTCTGGATGAACCAGGTAATCCAATACCTGCGCACGCTCCAACTTGCCTCCAGGCTGCCATCGACACAGGATGGCGAAGACAATGGCATTGACCGCCAGCGTTCGCGTCGCGATCAGATCCGTCCGAAAGCTGTCGGGGACCGCCTTCAGAAGGAGCTGCACTCCCCTCTGCTCCACCAAGCAGTACTTTCCGGCATCAAAGCTTTTCGCCATCGCCGACGCCTTCACCTGCAACCTTTGCTGAGGCGTCGCGCGGAGCCACCGTTCATAGTGGTCTTCTGCCTCCTTCAGATTCTGTGCCCACCACGTCTGGGCACTCGAACAAAGCTGCCTCATCAACGGCGCCACAGCTGCCAGCCAATCGCCTGCGAGGACAGCGCCCTGAGAGCGCTGTCGTGGCTCCGCCAGGGCCGGGAGCTCAGTGATGTGGCGACTCGGCTCCTCCGGCTTGCCAGGGGTTGCACTAGTAGTCACCTTAGGGCTAGCAGGGGCCGGTCCTGCAGGGACGGGGGTTCCTCCTGGTGTCGAGCTTAGCCCAGGCGAGGTTCCTATCTTAGGGGTCGATGGTGGAGTCGTAGCTGGAGCACTAGGAACACTACTACCCCTAGTCCCCGGCGGCGAGGTGTTTCGAAGACTTCCTATGTAGTACTGTGCTGGGCCAGTCTCCAGCCCCCCATTCTCATTCACCACTACGTCACGCAGGTGACCATCAATCCTGACCTGAAGCTTGGTGCCTGGCGGCAAGGTGGGCTGAGGCGTTGGCGCCGCCGTGGCTCCAACCAGCTCTTCAGTCACCGAGCTGTCGCCTCCGACACTGAGGGTAGCCTTGGTTGCAGTACTCACAGCTGCACTAGATTCCGATCCTCCTCCGGCCAACTTGGCTTCCTCAACCCCTCGCTTACGTCCTACACCCTGCGCCTCAGACCTTTGCTGCAACACACGATCTTGCAAAGCCTGTGTCTCAGACCTCTGCTGCGATGCGCGATCCTGCAACGCGTGTGCTTCGGACCTCTGCTGCGCTGCACGGTCCTGCAACGCCTGTGCCTCAGACCTGTGCTGCGACGTACGGTCCTGCAACGCTTGTGCCTCAGACCTGTGCTGCGGCATACGGTCCTGCAACACCTGTGCCTCAGACCTGGGCTGCGCCATGCGATCCTGCACCGCCTGCACCTCAGGACCTGACGAACACGAACGATCCATCCAGGCGGCCTCAGCCACGGGTTTGCCAGCTCACCTGGCCTTGGAAAACTCTGTACATCGCTCGCTATGTACATGCTCGCATCACGGTGGCCGGAGGCAGCAGCGCGAGCTGTTGCCTCCGTATACCACCTATCCAAAGCAGTCTGGTCGACCCATCTCAGCCCTTGTGAAGACTCCGCAGATCTCCACGAGTGGCTGGAACGGACCTCCTCCACTCTCTCCAGCCGGTTGTTCAAGGCTTGCTGCCCCTGAACCAGGGTTTCCAACACGCTCGTCAACTGCTGAAGTCTAGAAGACTCTTCGGACTGCCTCGATTCCGAGCGCCCCCAGGATTCCGGTGACTCCTCCGCGGGGGCTGTAGACACCGCCTCCGGGTGCCTCAAGGATGCCAGGGTCTCCTCACCACGTGGTTCCCCTTCATCCACTCCCGGTTGCGCTCCCTCCACTGGTCCAGGGCTTACGTCTGCCGGGTTCGGCTCCACGAGTTCCGGTTCGCCATAAGGCGGTTCGAGGACTTCATCCTCTACCATCCTCATCTGATCTCCCGTACCTCGGGCCTCCACATCCAGCTCAGCCTGGTCCAGTTGTAGTCCCGGAGCCACCAGTTCTGCAGTAGGATCCTCTCTCCGCTCCTCAGACCCATCACCTGAGGCCTCCATCGCGCCGGAGTGGGCAGCGCCTGAAGCTCTTCGCTTGCTCAGGAGCGTCTTGGGCTCATAACCCCTTCGCGGGGAGCCTCTGGGGTCAATGGCGGCACGGGCGAAGTCCTACTTTTCTCGCAGCAACACAAAAGCTTCGACTGTTTGAGAAGTCTACCATGCTGCCCTTGGAACCTGCTATCTACACAATGATCATAGCCTTTAGGCTGTGACTTAGGTTCGGGCTGCATGCCTGCGAAGCAAAGCTTTCATATGCGGAACATTCTCTCGGCAGTTACAGTTGCTGTTGTTCTGCTGCCACTGGCACTTGGCCCCATGCAGACTTTACAGTGGATTTGAGTCTACATGCTGCTATTTGTTAGCTCACTTTGGGTTTTTGCTGCGATGTGCCCCTGTATTGTTGTGCTGCTTGCATTTCGCGCCTGTCCCTTTTCTTGTGGCTTTTCGCCCCTCTAATTCTTATCAGATCTTGTTAAGTCATATCAGATCTTCTTAGATCTTATTGGTTCCTATAAACCATCAAGGGAACTACAGTAAACCCCGAGGAAGTGGACCCTGGATTTCAACTAATGAAGAAAGTGCTGGATCTCGAGCGGGGAGTGGGGGTGGGGCAGGGGATTAGAACGGTTTCATATTGCGTAGATGCCACACTGGCATTTACAGAGTTTTTGCCGTTTGGACATTGCGGTCCATGCTTGACGTTTCAAGGAAGAAGACGCGCAGTTGCAAGTGTCCATGCCCCAAACACAGGTGACAGAGTTCTTGGTGCTAGGTCCTTTATACTGACTACAGATGCTTGATGTTTCTGGAACAAAAGACGTTGCCGCAAGCGTCCATTCCAGGTGCAAACATGCAGCAGCCCTCTTTTGCAGCATTTTCGTGCCTTCGCGTTTGGAGTCTGGACTTGAGCCACTTGACAGGGCAACCCAGAAGCACAAGCCCATCGGGGGCCAAAGTCATGAAGCATCTGCACGACATCGGATTTGGAAAAAAGAAGACATACATGGTGCAGCACGGATCAGCCGGCGACATTTTTACGCTATTCCAACCCCACCCTATAACCCCGGAGCCGACTGGAGCTCACAAGTCACAAAGCTTTCCAATTGCAGCGCTGGGTGCTTGGTGCAAGTGCCATAAAGGATATATATGTGCCTGAACCTTTCTTGGCCAAATTTATCCAGAATTCATTGCAGGCCGTCAGAGAAAGGAAGGTTGAAGAAGCTCGAAAGGAGTTTGATGAAGACATGAAGAAGGCCCATGTCTTTGGCCGAGGCCAATGTTGGAACATGCCTGAGCTCAGGCTGAAGACAACATCCAAAAGGATCTTGCGAAGGCTTGGTTTATGTTGCCACCGCGGCATCCACAGCCACTCCCGGTTCTACGACCAAAGCCACCACCACCAGCCCACAATTCTGTGCAAGTCTTGCATCCTGGTCGACGAATTTGCAAACGGCAAACAAACGGAAAGTGTGGCAAATGCTGTCAGGCCATGGCAAACGAAGAGAACCGGCTCAAGGAGCAGTCTGCAGCAAACGTAGCTAAGGTCGCAGCCAAAGACATGCACAGAGCATGCGCCATTAAACGGCAAGCCTTCAAGATCTGCCAGCTGAGGCCAAAGAGGAGGCTTTGCAGCAGGCGCCAAGCCAAGTCCGGCAAGAGTGAAACTTTGCCTAGCAACAAGTTGCCATAGCATGCCATAGCACCATCTACTTCTTTTCGCAGTACGCGGTTCGACTAGGCCGCGCCCAAAGCTGAGAAGCAGGCTAAGGAAGCCGCGGAGAAGAGGCCACATCAGTGGCCGCATCGATCAGCGTAGCAATCGACCGCAGTCTGTTCAGCAGTCGCGCTTGCCGAATCGGTGCTTGCCAGAGAGTGGACTTCCGTCAGTGGAGTTTTTGTGCGAACTTGAAGTTGACTGCTCTGTCTCATGCACAGCCGCAGCCATGAATGCGCACGGCTCACGGTTGCTATATCTGTTGACATAGTAGCACAGTCAAAAAAAGTGACGAAAAACAATATTGTTTTTACTTTACTTAAACTCTTAGCTTGCTTTATGCTGTTGGTAATTAGAAAAGGATGTTTCTTTGTTCATGAGTCAAGTCGTTTGCTGCGAGAAATATCAATCATCAGATTCTGGGATTCACCATACCTACAGCCTTTTCAAAAGGCAGAAAAGGATTGAAGTCCTACCGAAAGATATTCAACCTCTTGGAATCCATGTTCTAATTGAAGCCAGTCATTGAAGCCAGTCGAGTCCCTTGTGAAAAACAATCGAAGCCTTGGTATCCCGAGAGAGGCGAAGATTGGATGTACAGCATTTGGACTAGAAGTAAATCCAGCACCCAGAAGCATCATATTTTTGGAATGAGCAATTCCACACTGCCGAAATAACCAAAATCCCAGGATTAAAGCGGCTATTCAGGCTTTATATATAATTGAAGCAAATATTTGGTACCACAAAAAAGACACATGCCTGAGCTACACTCTCTGCATCGACACCGAAACATTCCAGCCAGGGCAGGTTTTGGAAAGAATCCAAGGAAAGCCTGGGAGAGGCTTCAGGCCAGCCATCACAACACGGGAATTCTAGTTAATTCTCCAAATCTGAATAATTCCAGATTTGCAGGGCCTAAAGATTCCAGAATTCCAGAGTTTCAATTCCGGATCAATCCCAGGGAATTCAGTCCAGAATTCCAGATTTGCTGGTCGTAATCTTTCAGAATTCCAGATTTGCGGGTCCTAACAATTCCAGAATTCCAGATTTTTCAAGTCTGGAACGATTCCAGATTTACGCATCTGGAAGTCTGGAATATTTGGTCCCGTAAAATCTTGAATTCTGGAATTATGCCAGACATGAATTTGTGGAAGTCTGGATCTCTGGAATAGTATAAAATCTGCTACCGAATGATACACATTATCCCTGCTACCATCCTCAATGTAGTTCCTAGCATAATAATCCACATGCGTGTGCATTCGCACTATTTATGTAGCTAGAGATCTATGCACTTTTGTAAGCCTGACTATGTTCGACATGATACATATTTTGCCCTGCCTAACTCGCACTCGTGGCACATCTGTGCAAATCTGTCCACGCAGCACAATGCAAGGTGGAGTGGGCAATGGGTATCTACAGGCTGCTGTAGTATTCGGTGTGGGGGCTATGAGCCTAAATAGCCACTTACAAATCCTTTTAATGCCTGCAGAGCAGTCACAAGCCCGTGTTATTTGACTAGGTTTTTTTCTGCAGGGGACTACAGGTGTCAATATGGCCCTCACAACCAGGTTCCATGTAGGTCTCAATGTGGGGAAGCCAACCTTGCTGGTGATGGTGGCTGTTTATGAGGATCAACGAGGATGTTTAACGGGGGCTGCTGTCGATGAAACGACTATGAATCAAATGTGCAAACGACTGCTTGGGTCTGTCAGCCGCGACATGCCATGGGAGGGTATGTAGGACTAAGACCGACTATAGCTAGCAGGGATGAGGGGCTGAAATGTCTCATACATGTGGAGGGTGGTTGCAGGTGTGCCGTTGAGTATCCTGAGCTTCTATTGAAGTGGCACGGGATTGTGCCGGGAATGCGATGTTTAGATGGAAGCAAAGGTGCCCAGAATATGCACAGCACTGTGGCAGGGGCACGATTTGCGGACCAAGAACTCGTGATGCTGGGCAAACATGTTTCTCATATGAGTAGCGTTACAAGTTTCGCCCGTGCGATCATCCTCGATGATCCTTTCAGCAAAAACCCACATAGCCCTGTAGGTTCCTGCCCCCGAAAGTCCCTCCCTGCGGTGCGACTTGGTCAGCTGGGCGGGTGGGAAAATACTCACCTTGCTTAATTCTCACTAATGGAATGTCGCTAAATTCCTTTCATTCCTATCCACTCCCCACAACACGCGTATCTGAGGGCTTCTGTGGTCTTCGCCATCAGGGATAGAAGCCCGAGCAATCTGGCACAGTATTCACGAAGACGCACTACTTGGGGACTTCTATTCTATAAGGGATTACTCTTTCAAATGCGACCTTCACAACCACTTTCCTTGTAGGCCCCATTGCAAGTCTACATTAAGCAGCACTGATAATTTGTGGGTAGTTCTTCTGAGGCTACTAGCCGCTTGAGCACGAGTACAAAACTCACCGTGTCTACTGGACACGATTTCGAGCTGCAGGGGTGATCTGTATCTGCGGACGAATCGGCGATGCTCAACTATGAACTTCTCTTCGCTTGCGGCCCATAGATGCATCCTTCTGTTGCAGGCTTGCCGATGCCGAGGCCGGGATCCTGGGATACGCAATCACATATGATGGCGCCTTGCGATTTTTTTTACTATTTCATGTGCAGTTGCCGTGGTCATGTCGTCCTTGGCCTTGTCTCTGGAGGCCAAACTGCGGACTGCACGGCAACGTCTTGAGGTCAATGGCGAGGACTGCTGCTCAGTGGGCTGCCTTGCCGTAGGAGGCCTGTAGGCCCCTGAGACTGAGCGGCTCGGAGGCCAAGGACGTGGAAGTCGAGGAGCCAAAGCCGTCCAAGGTCGGAACCTTTGAAGTGCGAGAGCTCCTGGGTTCCGCCTGCCCCGCCTAGCGCCGGAGCTCCGCCTAGCTTGTGGCTAAGGCAAGCCGCAAGCGAAAAGGCCGAAGCCTCGGCAGTAGAGGAGCTTGTGAGATTCCGGTCTCGAGTTGCAGGTTCAGATACTTCAGAATATTCCTACTCTGGAGACGAAGCCGATGGATGAGGCGACCAAGTCACCACACCACGCACTTAGCGTTTTAGCCGCCTAACGTATACCTGCATTCAAAGACTTTCTGTAATGACCCTCTGGTTTTCGTTCAGAGGCGCGTTCATTGCGTGGGATTGACAGATGAAAGCAAAGCTCAGTCTCAAGCTCCGATTTCACGATGTTGCGCTGAGCAGGACATCTACGTCTGATTGAAGTCGCTCTTGCGTCTCGCTGTCCGATGTGAGAGCATGTACCGAAGTAACGGTCAGACACTGCCTCCGGCTCTTCTCTTCATCCAGATAACGGGAGTAACAGTACTTGCAGGCATGGACCATGACATTCCTAGATCGGACCCGAAAGTGGCAGCTGTGACAGGCAGGGTTATTCTCGATCGACCGAGCATATGCAGCGGGTTGAAGAGAGTCACCGTTGCAGCACGCAGTTGTTGTGATAACGGCTCCGACTGAAGGCACATCACTATACTGGGACTGCGGCGGCTCAAGCGGTTCAAGACTGTTTTATTGGCCGCAGCTCTCTTTCAGTGAAACTGACCATGGACATGCTGCTTGTGCACAATCGGGAATCTGGAAAGCACCGGGACGGCAGCATTGGGTCGTGCAGAACTGAAAGCAGAAGATAGGAAGCTAGGCAACAAAGGCATGCCGCCATCGCTGTTTTCAGACAACCCGTCGCTGACTCGGATGCAATGTGTGCACCACATCCTAGCATGTCGCAGCTTGTCTTGGCAGTCATCTTGTTGAGCTGCCATGTGTTGGCCCTGTTGGCCTGTTCTGGTCTGAGGGTACCGGTGTCTGAGCTACACCCGGCAGCCATGGCCATCGCTGCCGTTCTTGGCCTGTGCCTTAGGGCTCAGAATCTGTTCACGGTTGAGTGAAGGCTCGGACAGCCCGACGAGCAACGAATCATCGAGGGAGAGACGATTGAACTCATGCCCAGATTTGCAGGTTTGAGCCTGGCGTGTGTTGTGTACCAGTGCTGCGCAAAGCCCATCCTCGACGAACAGGCTGATGGTTGCCAAAGTTTAACTGCCGCCGACAAGCACAGCACCAGCCGTGCAGGATTTCAAAATCAAGAAGGCTCGCATGGAGGCAAAGAAAGCCATGAGCAAGAAGAAGTGAGCCGTCCTGCGAGAATCCTTTTGGATTCCGCTCTGCGCAGCGCAGAAACCTGAAGGTACGCCGTGCTGACCAAAGCCGTCAACGCAGTGCCTAAATAGTGGACCAGCGAAGCCAGCGCTAGACTTGTTTTGCGGGACGTTGTTTATTGCGCTAAACCCACCCCGGACCAAAGGACCAGAGGACCAGAAGACCAGGGGCCTAGGCCAACCCTACCAAGGGCCCCAGACAAAAGCCAACGTTAGGATAAAAACCCCTAGGACCCCCGGTCTCGCCCATGGGGGGAGGGGGGCGTGTTTAAGATAAATGATGAACCGGAATCGCCACATGAGGAGCGTGTTTAAGATACACTTATTGTGATGAACGGGAAGTGCCATAGGAGGGGGCATGTTGAAGATATATGATGTACCGGAATCGTCACATGAAGGGGCGTGTTTCAGATGTATGATGAACCTGGATAGCCAACTGAGGGGGCGTGTTTAAGAAATATGATGGGCCGGACGGAATTGAGATGTTATTCAAAATCAAGACAGGGTTTAGGGTCTAGGGTTTAGGGTTTAGGGGCCGGACTAGCTGCATGATGGGGGGTGTTTAGGATATGTTATGATGAACCGGAATTGCAGTAGGAGGGGGCGTTTTTATTAAAATATATGAGGAACCGGAGTCGCCACATGAAGGGGCGTGTTTAAGATGTATGATGAACCGCAATCGACTAATGATTTCGCATGTTTTAGAAATATGACGGAATCGCCCCTGCAAGTTGTAATCCCCCAAGAAATTAGAACAAAACACCTGAGACCTGACATGACTGTCAACACACTCGAAGCAACAATGACATTGCCACATTCGCATAAGGACTCGCGCAGACATGATTGAAACTGCAAGCTGCGACTTCAGTCACCCATGCCAGTTTCTCTTTAGCCGGTACACAATCCAGCGTCCTGGACTGCGTCCACCTCACTCCGTTAGCTTCGTTGGCATGACGCACGCACACGCCCGCACGCCCGCGCCCGCGCACACCCCCACCCCCACACACATACATACACACATACACACATACACACATACACACCCACACACCCACACACCCACACAATCAAAAAAACAACAAACAAGCAAACGAACAAACGAACAAACAAGCAAAAAACTAACGAACGAACAAACAAGCAAGCAAACAAACACACAAGCAAGCAAACAAACAAACAAACAAACAAAAAACAAACACACACACACACACACGCAGAGACAAACAAACACAAACGCACACAAACAATCAAACAATCAAACAATCAAACAAACAAGCAAACAATCACACAAACAAACAAACACGCAAACAAACAAACAACCAACCAACCAAACAAACAAACAAACAAACAAACACACAAACAAACACACAAACAAACACACAAACAAACAAACAAACAATCAAACAAACAAGCAACCAGCAGGGAGGCAAGCAAGCAAGCAAG